GGCGCCGAGCCTGTTTTTACTTCTCTTAAGAAGCTTTATTTTTTATTACAAATGGCATGAGAAAGATGATTAGTATGCATATATTTTAGGTGCTTTATAATTAACAGAATTTGAACTTATTTTTGTAAAAGCCCTCACTATTTACCATATTTTTATGTTTTAGATATTGTTATGGAACTTTATCAAAGGAAGCCCCACGCCACAGAACAGAAAGTGTTGGTTGTTTTATGGCACCTCTTGGGGAACATGACAAATAGTGGCTCCCTGCCTGGAGCTGGAGGAAATATACGAACGGCCACAGCTAAATTATCAAAAGCACTCTTTGCACAGATGGGTCAGAATCTGTTAAATCAGGCTGCATCTCAACCACCACACATCAAAAAGAATTTAGAGGAATTGCTTGATGACAATTTTAAATGAATTATGAATCTTTGATAAAGTATGGTACGATGAGCAAAACTGTTTACATGATGACAAAGGGAACTTTTTAAAAGTTTCATTTTCAGTGCCTGCACTTGACATTCAGTAAATTAAGTCGATGGCTATTTTTTATTTGTAGCCTGTGAGTACATATCTATCCTACATCACCCTATACTTGTACCCACCAAATAAAACCCTAAAATAATTATTATATTCTATTATTCATGAAATAAGAGGCACATGGGATAAATCCAGTTTTAATATTTTTTGAGAAAAGTCCTGCTCATTTGCACTATTCGATAGAAACTACAATTTGTTGCCCTGTATGTACAATTAGATTTGTAATTTAAAATATACTTTTTATGTAATCATGTTCTGCTATGTCTCATTACTCAGCCTTATTTTATGAAGTGGAAGCCATTGAACTATGTTATCAAACTAAGTCTTGTGTGCTATTTGTGAAAAACATGTATTTCTGAATCAGTCCACTAATATGATTGTGCAGTATTAGCTTTTGCTGCTGTGTTAAAGTGATATATTTGCTTACCTTTTGGGTTTAATTATCTATATAATTGTGAAATTTAGGTTGTAATAAAGCATGATGACCAAAGTTTTAGAGAACATTAAACATTTCAAATGCACGTTTAAGAAAACGTGTTGAATGTAACTTCCCTATTTTTGTGTGTAAACACTAAATTTTATTTCTATATGTCCTGACATTTATAAAGGTGTTATTTTCTTGCCCAGTTGTGTAATTCTCAAAAATAGTGCCAGGTCTTCTATAGCTTTTCTCAGAATTCTTGGGCTTAACAAGTACTGTATGCATCTTAAACAAGAAAAGGAATGTTATAAATAAAAGGATTTATTTCTGTAGACTTGTGAGGTGTCCTATTTTTTTTTAACTTTCATGTATGTTACAATAGAAAAAAATATTGTAACATTGATCTGTTACTTTCAGTTGACCTACTTGATAAGATATTTACCTATTACTATTAACCTAACAGTAATTTGGGTTTTCATTGTAGCTTTATAGGAAATTAGCTAGTCACATGCTAGGCCTGGACCTCAACTTTCTCATCTCTACAATGTGAGAGCTGAGGCCAGGTGTGATGGCTTATGCCTGTAATCCCAGCATTCTGGGAGGCCAAGGCAGGTGGATTGCCTGAACTCACAGGTTCAAGACCAGCCTGAGCAAGAGTGAGACCTGTCTCTAAAAAAAACCC